GCTCGTTCACACGTTGCTCTTGCATCATACGCACCATCAACTTGAACCAACACTGACACTCACCTCTGCCCTTCTTTCGTGCAACTATCCCCGACCCAACACGACAGGCGCATGAGAAGGCGATGAAGAAGCGAAAAGTGCGCATTGATCCAACCAAACTCAAATGGCGACCAGGTACGCACTCTACCACTTTCTCGATGGTGATTGTGGTGTTGGACATGTCAGTAGTGTTGGTGGTTCCATGCTTGGTGACCACCTCGTTGTTTATTTGCCTCGCTTTCCTTCCTGCGCCTGCCTGAGCTCCTGTGCATCTCACCACGGCCGTTTTGCTTTGTTGTTTTGGGGTTGGCTGCTTGTCATGTGTGCAGTTGACTGGAACAAGCGAGGAGCATGGTGATGTGCCTGGTCGCCATCAGCCCACCGTGACCTGCGTGGGTGAAAGTGCTTTCGTCATCCCCATTCTCCTTCCTCCTTTGCTGCATTCATTCATCGTCCCACCACCACCACTCCCCACCACCATGTGTTCGTTTTTCCCCCTCTAATTGCCCTGTACAAAACGAGCCCAAGTGCTCATATCTCATGGTGTGCTGGTTTGCATTTGAAGCAATGGTGCTGTGTATACAATGAACAGTCAAAGGCAAGCAAGGAAAACGCCAGAAAGCAATGCGCCCGGCAAGAACACAGCAGCGTAGGCAAGAAGCCAAGTCGGGGGAGGGGGTGGGTCAAAAGCAGTGTGAAATTGACAAGAGCACACTCGTTTCACGATTAGTCAGCGCCTGGCGGCAAGGATAACGTCAACGCATGTTGAACAATGGCAGTACACAGACACAGACACAAACACAGACACAGACACACAGATACAGACACACACACACAGACACAGACACACACACACACACACAGACACACACACACACACACACACACAGACACACACATACAGACACACGAAAACGCGGGTCAAAACGCTTCCTCGACATACAGGCCATCATCGTCGTCGTAAGCAATGGGTTCCCGGTAGGGAGGTGGACTCTCGTTCCTGAAGTCGGCGTGGTGGTGATCATCATGATGGTGACGGTGGTGACGGGGTTGCCGACGGCGGTTGGGCGAGAGCGGTGGCACCACATCTTCGTCATGAATCAGATGGCTCGCTGTTGGGAGGAAGGCACGTGGGTGGGTGGGGGGGGGCATGAGTAAATACAGCGATGAATGTCATTGGCAAGATGCGAGGTACGGCGTATGGGCGCGGCACACTAACGCATGGACACAACGAATGTGTGTGCGTGCAATGTGCGTGTGCGTGTGCCATGTGATCATGTGAACTGACATGACTGGTGCTCGAACAGCGGCGGTTCTTCCTTCCGCGGGAAGTCCTCGGTAAAGTGGCGGTACCCGTCCGACTCTGGACGCTGATCCCCATCATCATCACCAGTCATCATCATGGTTTGAGTGTGTGTGTGTGTGTGTGTGTGTGTGTGTGTGTGTGTGTGTGTGTGTGTGTGTGTGTGGTTGTCACCAGTTGAGGGTGATGAGGGAGAGCTCCACTTGCGATGTTTCAATCGCCGTGGACACGTCCGGGACATGGCGCCGAATCAGCTCCCTGCAGACGAAACGAAGTGACGTGAGACAACAGCGAAAAAGGCAGCAATTGCAGGGATGAGGTTTGACAGTTTGCCGGGTGGAACACCATGTACCTGAGCAGGCGCACACGACGTGCACATGAACACACACGCGCACACACAACACAACATACAACATCACAACACAACACCACACAGCACCACAACACACTTCAACATACCACACCACAACACACCACAACACAGCACCTGAGCACGCGCTGGTCTGTGACGGCGCCCAGCAAGTTGCCGCCGTAGAAATCGCCGGGCACAAGATCGGAGAGGATGGCCTGCAGCAACCAGAAGGCGTCCTCCTCCTCCAGCAGCAGCAGCATGTGCGCAACCAGCATACCAAGGCCCTGGCAGTACCTGCAATGCATGCACATGGTGTGACGTGCGGCGTGGAGGAGGGGAGGGGGTTGAGGATGGTGAGTGGTGGATGGTGAATCAAAACACCCATCGCACTTCGTTGAACGAAGAATGCACACACTCACTCACTCACACACACACACACACACACACACACACACACACACACACACACACACACACACACACACACACACACACACACACGTACAAAGCCGTACACATCCGTCGTGAGAGGAAGGCAAACACAGCGCACGTGTGTTTGAGGGGAACAGCCGGGTGGACGTGATGGCGCTGATGAGGGGGGGGGGGGGAGATGGGCATAGCAGCATACCTTAATGCCGGTGATGGTGAGGAGCAGGGACATGAAGCTGACAAGCGCCATGCTAAACCACCATGCGTCCAGGCCCTTCTGCGTTTCATCACACGATGCGCTCATCATATCGTCGTACGTCGTGGTCATCAGCTGTTTGCGGGAAGAAAGGCCGTGTGCGTGTGCGTGCGTGTGCGCG